AAAAAAAAAAAAAAAAAAAAAAAAAAGAAATTCAAGACAATGGAAGAGCAGCAGCTGATGTATTAATATTATTATTACCCATTACGCCTCAGCCTCCCAAAGTGCTGAGCTTACAGGCGTGTGTCACCACACCCAGCCTCTTATTCTTTTACATACTATTGCCAGCACAGCTGTCCAAGATGGTAGTCTCTAAATGTTTAGATAAATATAAGAAATAATCCAGTTATTTCCACTTTTTCATGTTGGGTTTTCAAAGTCTACTTTTCAAACAGTATAAAGTTAACTTTTCTAGTCTTTGTTTTGTGGAATCTATTATACTTTGTAATGCAATCCAGAGAAACTTGGAGGCCACTTTAAAATTTACTAGTTTCAATGATACCCATGCTGAGGTGCTCAGAGGGGAAATGTACTAACACATATATCAATGGATGGATATATGGATGCATATATGATAAAGCAAATATAGGGAAAATTAATTGTAGAATATAGGCAGTGGGTACACAGTTGTTCACTGTACAATTGTTTCAACTTTTCTACGTGTTTGAAAAATTTCTTAACATGTAGGAAAAGTGACTTGTTTTATTCAAGCAGGGGTACATTCAATCTTCAGTTTTAGATATAAATCTATCATTCCTTCTGTTTGCAGAGCGCTTTAGAGAGTCAGAATAATTCCCACAGTACACTTCAAATCATCACACAAGGTTTTGATAGCAAATAATTTTATCAACACAACCAGGCAATTGACTGAAAACAATTTAGATAGATAACTCAAAACATGGAGTTACTGCGCTGAAAATGTGACCCTGTTACCCAGATTTTGGGAGGAAGAGTATAAAACAGGAGAGAAAAGGAGTCAGATTTGTGGTTGCAGCCTCACTGTAGAGGTGAAGTGTTCCATTGATTGCAACCATGGTAGGTTATTTCAGTTTCCTTCATTAAGGTCTGAGGAATCTACTAAGCCCTCCCCATTCGTTAGAAACACAATGCAGTAAAATAGCAGGAGTGGCCAGGCATGCTAGCTCACCCCTGTAATCCCAGCACTTTGGGAGGCTGAGACGGGAGGATCGCCTGAGGCCAGGAGTTTGAAGCCTGCCTGGGCAACATAGTGAGACACACACCCCTTCTCTATTAAAATGAAATTGTTATTTTTTTTCCTTTCAGTTCATCGGTAACAAAATAAAAAAATAATTAAAAATTAACTTTAAAAAAATTTAAAGTAAAGTAGGAGTGGAAGCAGTATGTGGAATTATGGGGCTTGGGTCTGAATCCTGTGTAGATCGGCACCGTGAAATGGGGATAATAATGATCTCCCAGGGCTGTTGAAATAGGAAAATGGAAGAGCAGCAGCTGATGTATTAATATTGTCACAATTATTATTACCCATTACCTGACAAGTCATAATTGTGACATAAAGAGGAGGCTGGACCAGTTGTCTCAACAATCTTTTCCGTCTAGAATTCGGCGGGAAGGTCTGAGACAAACACTTCAGCTCAGATCAGCTTTCTCTCAACAGCGGTCATCGAGGAGCCCCCAAACCCCAAACCCCTAAGTCCCTGGGCGCCAAGAATGTTGTGGGTCCTGCGCATGCGCAAGGGTGCTGGCTAGCTCGCCCCCGGCTTAGCGAATAGCCTGTTCCATTCCCGAGGGTTGCCGACATGGGGGGAGGCGGGAGACTTGGAAGCCTGGGTCTGGAAGTGCAGGTGCGTCACTAGTTTTTCCAGCCTTTCACTTCATGAATAGTAATTTGTTATTATTATACTTATGCCTTGATGATTGCGACAGTCTGCTGAAAAGTGTGCGTTTGGTGAACAATTTACCGTGTATCCTACCCCTTCACCTGCGCACGTTAGTGAGGGCCGGCGTGACGGCCAGGTACGGAAGCCCAGAGGGTTCCGCCCACCGCCACGGGGCCCGCCCCTCCGCCTCTCAACCCGCAGGTTGCCCAGCCCGCGGCGCCGCCGGGCTCCTCCTCCTCCCTTCCGCCCCGCCGGCCGCGGGCGCGGGGGACGTCAGCGCTGCCAGCGTGGAAACAGCGGCGGGGCGCGAGAGGAGGAAGTAGCGCCCGGGACCGCCGGGCCACCATCGGCCGCCTCAGCCATGGACGCGTCCCTGGAGAAGGTCCGTACCGAGAGGGGGCGATGGGGACGGCACTGCGGCCCCCGGGCCCCCGCCTCTGAGGCGACTGTTTCCCAGTCTGGAGCTGCCATTGTGACCTGGGCAGGGGGACGCGGGCTAACGGGCCCCGCCCGAGGAGGCCTGGCTGCGAGGGCGACTGGGGCTCGGGCGCTTCGCGGGGCAGGTGTTTGTCGAGTCCCCGTGGGCCGAAGAGGCTGGCCGGGTTCCCTGGGGGCCGCGAGGGGCCGGGAGCCGAGGTCTGGGATCGTGGGGCCGACCTTGGGCCCTTTTAGGGTTCTGCGAGGGGCCGGCCTGAGCGCTGTTGGCCGTTTCGGAGGACGCGGAGCGGCCCCAGGTGCTCCTGGAAAGAAGCCGCAGTTTTTTCGGAGCCAACTGCAAACCTGTAGGTTTTCCTTGGCCTCCGAGTTAGGAATGAAAATTGCTAAATTAGTGTTTTTCCAACTTCAGCCTGCGTGGGAATCACCTGGGGCCTTTTGTAAAATGTGGATGTTCAGTCCCGGGGTTAGAACCTCTGGGGTGGGGACCGGGATCTGCGTGTTTAACCCCCACCGCCCCCACCGCTCTGCCCCACGCAGGTGATTCCGATGTTGAGCGTACGAACACCTGGCGAGAAACTCTGAGGTCCAGAAAGGGGTGGGTAAATTGCAAATTGAGCTTCGGGGATCGCAGCTGCTCCACAACTTCTTGGCTCCCACTTTTCCAGTGGCGAGGAGGGATCCCCATGTTGACCCGAAATCCACTGGTAGCAGCGCCTTCCTTTGGTTTCTCCTTGGGGGAACAGCAATGTGATGTACCTGTGTGACTGCTCTACCATGGGAAACGGCTTCTGCTTGTCCCGGCTGTAGGGCTTGTAAATGGGAGTCGGTCCGTGGGTTTCTTCACGGATTGTTACTTTCAGTACCCGACGTTCTGCCCTCTCTCAAAGCCCTTCTTTTCCACCTTGGGAGTCTGCTTGTCCAGTCGAATGCAAACTCGGTTTTTCACGCACGTGGCATTCAGGAGCAATGCTAGTGTTTGAAGACTGCTACATTTTTATTTTGAGCTGGTAGGAATAATACATTTTGTCTTTCAAGGCAACAGCTGCTGTAGATTTGTTCACTTGTCACTGGAGAGTTGAAGGCAATGATGTAAAAGTTGGGCCAGATGTCTTCAAGTTCTCATTGGTATAGCCTACTACTCGGTTGCTTAGCGTAAATTGGGGTGGACAGCAAGAAAAACAGGGTTTTCTTGTGCCATCTCTGGGGTGAATGTTTTGTTTTTTTGGCTGGAAATAAAGTCTTGTCCAGATGAGTGGTTCTTAAAGCAGGGGGCAGTTTGTTTCCCCAGGGACATTTGGCTATCGTTGGACATATTTTTGATTGTCACAATGGGGGCAGGAAGGTGGTGCTGGTAACCTAGTAGGTAGAGGCCACGGATGCCTCTAAACACCTTACATTGCACAGGACACCTCCCCACGCTGGACAGTTCTCTGGCCCACAACGTCAGCAGTGTTGAGGCTGAGAAATCCTGGTGTACATCATGTTTACAATACCAGCAGTTGAATACAAAATGATGCAGAGTGTTTTCATACGAAGATGGACGGGCTTCATGTGGTTGTGATTGGAATCCTAAAGCACTTAGGGTGATCTTTCCTCCAGGAATAGTTAGCCTTTATAGGAAAATCTGCAGAGTGGGTCAGAATCCTGCTTTATGACTTTTCTGGCATTTGATCAGTAGATTAAGGTGGTTGCTGTATTAATTGATGTTAAAAGACCTTAAACTCTGTCAGTGAAGATCTCAAGAGGAACTGAAATACCAGTATGTCTAATACTGGCATCTTCACAAAAATTGCAGTGCAAAAATTGCAGTGATCTTTTAGGAATTCAGAACATGTGGGCCAGAAGTTTCTGCCTTAGGTCAGTGTGAAAATTCTGAATGTAGGTTTTTCACAACTATGGGACTTAAACGTGTATATTACATGAAGTAATAGAGGGCCTTAGGTGGAATGAACAATTTCTGTTGGCGCTAAGTGGGCAGGAAGGAAAAAGCAATGCTATGAGTGTTGATGACTTTGTGTGCTGAAAAATAGTTTGAATCAAAGGGAAACATTCAGTTGTGTTAATTATTCCTGTTTCTTTGAGGAATAGAGTATGCTGCGTTAAATTCTACATTGTTAATATCAGTTTTCAGGAGCTATTTGAGCAGTTCGGAATGATCCCATTTAAACTGATCCTTGCATAATTTATAATGATTACAGAAACCACATTGTTATTTGATACCCTCTAAAATTTCAAATAATATCTCTCACTTTAAAATGCAGTATGTGAAAAAAACACAAAAATTAAACAAGATGTAGTATGCCATCATCATTTAGTAGAATCTCTCAGTACCTTTCCTTTGGTCCAAATATAATTCTGTCCCTTGCTTTTTCTGTAGGTGATAGATAAATGTGCAGATCTGTGATCACAGAGCCATTTTCATGTCAGGATTTGCTTTTCTTTCACAACAGTATCAGTTTTCTTACATCTGAGATTACTGATATCCCAATAAATCAGATAGGTTGATTGAGGAGGCAGGGAATTCAAACTGGGAGAGGAGTAGGGGCTTTGCCCCAGCCCCACACTGTATGTCCAAGGCATAAGGAACAAGGCCTTGTAGCAGAGTCTTACAGTGTTTGCTTATGTTAATATTCGAGGAAGGAAAATGCCACTGGAAGTAATCACTATAATGCTGAAGATCTTAATAAGTTATTAAACACACCTCTCAGTAAAAACCTGTTAAATTACTATTTTTGAGACAGGATCTCAATCTGTCACCCAGGCTGGAGAGCCGTGGTGCAATCTCGGCTCACTGTAATCTCCGTCTCCAGGGCTCAGGTGATTCTAGAGTCTCAGCCTCCTGAGTGCTGGGACTATAGGCACTCACCCCCACACCCAGCTAATTAATTTTTTTTTTTTTTTTCTGTAGTGACAAGGTCTCACTGTATTGCCCAGGCTGGTCCCAAACTCCTGATTCAAGCCATCCTCTTGCATTAGCACCCAAAGTGCTGGGACTAAAAACCTGAGCCACCATGCCAGGCCAAAACCCACTTGAAACCTGTAGAATAGCCCAGACATTTTTCTGTTGGTTAAAAAATCTCATTCTCCCTAAGTATTATGTTTAGACAAGGTGGACTGCATTTGCTTTGCATTTACTTTAATTCCATCCTTGTGCAGACTTGGAGCAGTTTGTCAGCATCAGCACTACTGATATTTTGGGTCAGATAATTCTCTGTTGTGAGGGCTGACCTGTGTATGGCAGGATGCTTTGCAGTGTTCCTGACCTCCACTCAGTAGATGATAGTCGCACCCCCTACCCCGAGTTGTGACAATAAGAAATGTCTCCAGATGGAGGCAATTGTCCCCCGAAGGGTGGGGGGAATTGCCTCTGGTTGAGAGTCCCTGACTTAAGGAATCTAGAACTCCAGTGTTCAGTCTGGCTGTATTTGGCCGTTTACATTTAGATTAAAATTAAACACAATTTAAAATTCTTTCCTCAGTCATGCTAGCCACATTGCAAGTGCTCAGCAGCCACATGTGGCTGATGTTTGCTACACTGGGCAGCACAGACATAGAACATTTCCATTGCCAAAGAAGTTTCCACCAGACAGTGCTAAGAACTGGCAGCAGTTTTTTGTGAGGGGAGGGGTTGGGGGAGATGGAGTCTCGTTCTGTTGCCCAGGCTGGAGCTCCTGGGTTCAAGTAATTCTCCTGCTTTAGCCTCCCAAGTAGCTGGGATTACAGCTGCCCACCACCATGCCTGGCTAACTTTTATGTTTTTAGTAGAGATGGGATTTCACCATTTTGGCCAGGCTGGTCTCCAACTCCTGACCTCAAGTGATCTACTCCTCCGTGGCCTCCCAAAGTGCTGGGATTACGGTATGAGCCACCATGCCCAGCCAATTACTTGTTACATCTAATCCTCATCTCTGAAAGAGACAACTTTGACCCTGTTTCTGACCTAAATCACAACTCAGCCTATTTTTGGTTCTTGTACTCATCCTGAGCTAAGTTCTCCTTTCCTGCTCTTTGGGCCTGATTTTAGAAAATTCTTTGTCACCTTATTGTTATGCTAGAGGTTTATAGTACCATCAATGGAACATTCCTGATCCTTACTTACTGATAAGGACTCCCAGAATTTCGAGGTCTGCTCCTTCGTTTAAAAGCATGAGAAAAGAACTCCTGTTAGGCAAGGTTGAATGACCAGTTTTGGTTTATGGCTTTGTAGATCTTTGTAGATTTATATAGAAAGGAGAAGATGATAGGCTGTAATTGTAGCTTTCATATAAAGCCAATTCCAACATTATCATAATGTGAGGGTTTTACATACAGGTGCATGGCAGCTGTGGCTGTAAATGATTATCTAATACTACTGGGTGTCAGGGAAAACTGGTGGGACTCAGCCATAGTACAAAGTTTCTGATCCTAGAAATTTATGGCTTTGGTCATACTTGATTTATTCAAGGTTGCAGGGGTAGTCAGTGGCAGAGCTATTGATGGTTCCTATTTCTGTCTTTGCTTCACTATATCTAGGATTATGAGTTATAAGAAGTTGCTTGAGCTTAATGTCATCTGTTTTCACCTAAAGCAGAGCCTGATTTATAATTTTTTTTTTTTTTTTTGAGATGGAATCTTGCTCTGTTGCCCAGGCTGGAATGCTGTTACATGGTCTCAGCACACTGCAGCCTCTGGCTCCTGGGTTCAAGCAGTTCTCCTGCCTTAGCCTCTTGAGCAGCTGGGATTATTTTTGTACCATTCCCAGTTTTTGTATTTTTAATAGAAATGGGGTCTCACTATGTTTGCCAGGCTGGTCTCAAACTCCTAATCTCAAGTGATCTGCCTGCATCGGCCTCCCAAAGTGCTGAGATTACAGGTGTGAGCCACCACACCCAACCTTGATTTATAATTTTTATGAATTGAAGGTCAGCCTCAATTCATAAAAGGTCATCTGTGGTCAAAGCCCAG